AGGAACCATCTCCTTTTCTGAATAGAGTGGCTAAAAGCAAAATCTTAGTCCATCTTGGGTGAACCTAAAAGAAGCACCAACCCCCTCTACTCTCTTAGCTTCTGCCCTTTTTGAACGTCTGGGTGGGAAACATCAGTGTGCTTTAGCAACATTTTCCTTTCCTTCATCCTTTATATCCTTTGTTACATGCCCCTAAGTTTACCCTTGACTTATCTATGGGTTATATCAAAACCGATAATTTTGGCACCAAAACCTGCCCTCGACATATACATAAGGTCGACATAGTTGAGTAAATATGATACATTTGAGCATCATGATGAGACTGGGCCAGGGCTTAATTTGAATCAGTAAGGATAAGCTCTAGATCAGGAATGGGAGACATTTGGTCCTTCAGATGTTTGGACTACAACTCCCATAATCCTTTACCACGATCCAGAGTAGCTAAAGCTTATCACAGTGGAAGCCCCAAACACCTAGCCCTGTTTTAAGTGTTATTTTTTGCATAGCTATAGTTCAGTGGGAACACATAGGATCAGTGAGTGGACCTCTGAGGATGTGCAGACAGTCTTCCCCCTTCCCTCACTGCACTGCAAAGGCTTTGTAATGTTCACATGGTGTCCCCATCTCCATCCCAGCAAAGGACTGCTTTTGATATAAATTACCAAACTGAGATCCAGTGTAATGTCGTGGTTTGAGAGTTGGACTGTGACTCTGGAGAGCAGGGTTCGAATCCCCACTCAGTCACAGAAACCCACTGGGTGATCTTGGGCAGGTCACACACTCTCAGAGGATGGCAGTTGCAAACCCCCTTTGAACAAATCTTGCCAGAAACAACTTGAAGACACATAACAATGACCCAAGATCTCTATTCTTTTTATCTCCTGCTCCAAACTGTTGGTCCAAGGCTAACTCAAAGCAGTAGTCTGTGCAACAGCATGCCTAGGGTGCCACAAAACTCAAAAGGCTGAAAGTTAGTAGTGTGTCTCACTATTAGAGCCATTCGCATTCATAAGTAGAAAGTGAGTAGTAACCAGTCCTACATCATCCCTACAGGCTTTAGTGAGACATAAAGCAGGTTAGTGTTTTTGGGTTTTTTTTGTAAAAACATATGAATTAGACTTATGTACAAATATTAAAGGTTGCATGATGTCTCATGTGAGAGGCTTAGGGGGGTTGCAGACTGCCAGAAATAGTGTGAATTCAGTCCACTTTTAGGGTTAGGGTTAGAATTAGGGAACCATGGGAACTGTATTTTATTGTGGCACCAGAGTTGTCTGACAGAGAAGGCTCAGTGTCTCAGGAAAATAACAGTTCCCATGATTCCCTAGCACTAACCCTAACCCTAACAGTGGACTGAATTCACACTATTTCTGGCAGTCTGCAACCCCTTTTAGTAGCATTGCTGTTCAAACTAGGAGAAGCAAGGCCACAAGATGGAGGACGAACAAACTGCTGATTAACTGAAGCAGGAAGAAAGAGGGTGTGACTTAGGTTGCATCTGTACTATAGAAATAATGCAGTTTGATACCACTTTAAGTGCTATGGCTCCATCCTACAGAATCCTGGGTTTGTATTTTTGTGAGGAACCAGCACTCTTTGGCAGAGAAGACTAAAGACCTTGTAAACTACAAATCGTAGGATACCATAGGATGGAGCTACAACATTTAAAATGGTGTCAAATTGCATTATTTCTACAGTGTAGATGCACCCTAAGACTTTCTGTTGTGTTGTTTGCCTTCAAGTTGTTTCTGACTTATGGTGACCCTAAGGTGACCCTATCATGGGGTTTTCTTGGCAAGTTTAAAACCAGGACATGAGATAAATTCATGCAATGCCTAAACCCTTAGAGAGAGATGCAGATTAGCATAGTCTAGGCACAGAAAGGCTGCAACCTCTAACAGTTTTGATGTCTCAGTCCAATCCCCAAAACAATAACCCTAAACAATACAGAACAATACACCAATACCCAAAACAAGACGCATTAGGCTCCAGTCTCTTCTTAGAACTGAGAACCCAGGTGAACTGACTCTCTAGTGTTACCTGTGCAACATCTCCACCCTACTAGCTATGGACAGAAGAACCACTGAATAAGAATTACAATTTATGGCTCCAACTTCACTGGACATGAAAGGGTGAGGCCAGTTTCTATGGGAATTGTTGTCAAGGTTCACAAGCTTTGTTTGGCTAGCCTGTGATCCTCTACCTCTGGGAGCTTGCAGGCATGGGATGAGAGGTTGCCAGCAGCCTTGGAAGTGTTTCAGTCCACCTGCTGCCTCTCATGGGGAGCATTCACACTCAGTTTTTTGTCCTGAGGAGATGCAGATCACCGTGCTGATGCATAGTGGGATCGTTGTTCCCATTACGTTTTGTGTTTCCGAATCTCTCTGAGTCATTTTACCCCTGTTGTTATACACACATGTGATTGTTTCAGGATAAAATGGAGCCGCTTCCATTTCCTTGAATGATACAGAGTGATCCAAACCGATTCGGTAGTGTATTCACACTGCCAAATATGTGGATCGATACGGTTCTTTAAAAAAGATCTATGCGATTCTTTTAAAAAGATGCAGGAAAAAACCTGTTATTGAATATCCCAGGTTGAGTGGGTTTTTGGATAAACTCCCCCCCCCCCAGTGCATCGAGTGCATTCGGGCAAGTGTGAACGGCAAGGAAAGAACCCGGTTTCACATTGGGTTATTTTTGTAGTGTGAAAGCCCCCATGATTTCCTGTCAAAGCCCCCAGACCAGGGGTAGGCAACCTTTTTGAGCCAGGGGCCGGGTTGCTGTCCCTCAGACAATTGGCGGGCCGAAGCAAAAAAATAAAATAATAAAAATAATAAAAATAAAATAAAATAAAATTTAAAAATATGCATGCACACTCTCTCAGCCCCAGAAAAGCCATGGCAAAACCCCAGTGGAGATTTTGCCAAGAAAACCCCA